ATGTACATATATATTAAATAAGGTTTTCATGGGTAATAACCGAGAACTCTGTTAAGTTTAAAATTTAACAGAGATCCCAGAAAGGACCCTGCATCGCCACACTCAAAATGTTAAATTTAACATTTTGAGCGTTAAGTGACAAACAATCCCCTTTAGTATTGGGGGATTTTTTTCTTGTTATCAGCCTATTTCCAGATAAAAAATATAGCATGAAAAAATTTCTGTTACTACATTTACTTAATTATAGTATGTCCTAATTTATTTTGTCTGTGGGAGCATGTCTATTGTGATCATCTGTATATCAATGGGTGTTATCAGTCGAGTCTGTAGATGAATAATCAGTTATCATCTATGACACGACTGATAACTAGTACTGTAGTACTTATCAAATGTTGAGGATTATCAAGCGGGTAAAAAAGATTAACGCCTGATACTATTCCAAACCCTATAATAATATCCGAAAATTTATTAATAAAGATTCGCTTTCAATCTACTTTTGAATTTTATAAAAATATTTCATTCCATAACAGATAAGTTTAAGGAAAAATAAGAACTTAGATGATTATCGTGTGACACATGTTCTGTCAAACACGAAAGATTTTCTTCTGACCATCTGAGTGACTGCATGAAAAACACATTTTCATTCTAAGTCCCGTTTTCGGCAGATCCCAAGCTCTGTCCATTTTCATGCAGGTTTAGCGTGAATAAACGAATTTTCTACACTAACCATTTTTTTAAGGGCTTGCTGATATTCAGAAAAAAATGCGCAAAAACTTCTTCTTCATATGAGTTTATTACTTACCTAAACAATAGATTATGCACCTTTCAATAATACCTAAAATGAATATTATCCAATCTAATATAAATGCAGTGTATCGGTAATAATTCGAGAGGTTCTGTTCACTTCCGAGTAATATGAAATTTCTTGTACGCAAACTGATTTGGCGTAGATAGAATGCATCAATTGCTTTGTCTTTATTGAATCCTTGCCGTATGCAGATAAAATGCGAAAAATGCCTTTAGGAAGGATTATTACCGACATCTAAAACAATATTTTTCTCACACGCCTATCGAAATGATCTGAAATCATTTTTTTTATCTTTTCGAGTTTCCATATTGATAAATGAAAATCCCTTGGCAAAACACGTTATATGAAAAGGATTTCATTATAAAAAGCCCGCTTCTTTTTGACAAACTTGATCAAAAAAAGCTTTCATTATAAAAAGCCCGCTTCTTTTTGAAAAACTTTATCAAAAAAAGTTTTCATTAAAAGAGTTTATTCAAAATGTATTCCTTTTAACGATTAGTCCGTCTTCTTTATCTTTATGCTTCAGCTAATTCTTATTATTTTTTTTTTTAGGTCATTGACTCCAGTGCAAATTGTATCAACCGAACACCGTGCTTTTGCTTGGGCAGTAGGTGCTAAACGCGCTGAAGATGCTGAAGTTGTTGAAGCTGATTGCAAAAAAAAATATATTATTATCTCTAAAGATAATAATTA